CCCTTAATAAATAACGGAGTGACCCTAAGGCTGTTCTAGCCCTCATACTAAATAGTTCTAATTGTTGCACTAAACCTAATCATATTGGGACTTCCGTAAAGATTAATTACTAATTAATTTCTTAATTGTTTTAATGCAACATTTTCCCTAAGCTAAGAAACTGTTTCTTCGAGTGCATTCAGCCAAAGGGGTTGAGGGGCATGGCTGAGACAACCCCCCTTTGCACTTACTACCTAAACGAACCAAGGTTCGTCGTCTAGCGCCGCCATTCATACTTAATTACCAAAAAATAAAACAAAAAATAAGAAGAGAGGAAAAATCAACGGCAGCAATCACAGGCCAAAAACAAACGGCGGCAAACGAAAAGTTGTCTCTTCTCTGGCGTGACGCTAAATGAGCCCCCACCCACAGCCACCACCGCACCACCTTTCCGTTCCTCCTCCTTCTGGTCTGTGGAAAATCTTATGACCAGGCCAGGTAGACCAGACAGACACCTCCCCCGAAATACAAAAAAAAAAAAACACAAAAATGAAAAGCGGCGAAAAAAGATGAGACAAGATGAGATGGGCTGGGAAATGATGAATTGTGGGTGCCGTTGGGTAAGTTTGTCGCTTCCACTCGTAGGCGTTGACCTAAATATGCGAACTGCGCTGTGTTGTCGACGTCGTCGTCGCTGCCGGTGCAGAGCATTTTCCGCTCTGGCAGCGGTTTTCTTTCTGTTTTGTAATCTTGCTTGCCAAACAGATTCTCCCATTTCCATACCCATACCCATACCCTAACCATTTCCATTTCCCACTTCCATTTCCCATTTTCAAACAACAAGCAACAAGTGCAACTGGAGATCAGGAACCCAGAAGAGAAACCTAAACCCTACCAAGTTATCCAATCGCAGCTGTCAAGGTTCTCTGCGGGGTTTTCCATAGTATAATCGCTATACAGGTATTGCTTTTGCTCAATGAAAAATCTTTGCGAGATTATTAGTGCTTTGGCAAGGTGACAAAATAGAAACCGCAGAAAAAATTAATATTCAATGCTGCGTGCAATACAAGTGACAAATAATTATATAATAGAAAGGTGTACTGTGTACTTGTATCTAAATAAATCATGTTATTTTAAAGACTATATCTTTCGAGATCAATTTACATGTTATTGTAGATAATGATATCTTTATTTACATATTGAAATGGGGGTTTGATATTGTATATTTTATCATACTCAACAATACCTATTGTTTTTATATAAAGATATATTTTTTCAGAAAACTAGAAATCAATTTGTATATAGAGATATAACACAGTGAACAGTATAGTTAATAAAGATATTTAAAACAGTAAGAAAGGACAAGGCGAAGGAAAATATGGATAAATATCAATTCAGAGAATTCGAATGATTTACGGTTAATTATGAATGATATCCGATTCGATCATATAAATCAATAGCAAACCGAAAGAGTAAATAAACTTCGGTGTCCTTAAGTAAGTTTTCTTTCTTGTTACTAAGAGCTTTTTGGAATCATATTAATAATATATTGCTTTCTTTTTCAGAAACCAAGTTCTTATTAAATAGGATCTGCTTAAGCTGCTTAATGCTTAAACCCTTTAGTCACTAGATTTAGTTTTGCTTCAAGGTTTGCCCTAAATTTGGACATCTCTGCAGTATAATAAAATATAAATTCACATTTTTGCAACAAACCAAAGTAACTTAATTTCTTAATTTTACGATATCCAATCACAATATAACATAGTAGTAGTATAGCCATGAATAATACCCATATATAATTAATATTTCGTTATGTCAGCCCTCTGCCAGTTTGTCTCCGCTTTTCGGACAAACAAATATCGGGGGCAACAAACAAAAATATCGGGAGCCATTCGACCTGCTGATTCTGCTCTCGGATTTGGACTTCTGCTAGATCAAATCATGTTTTATGAGCAGCTAATTTACTTAACACCTCGGCAACAACAATAGCGAGGAGGAGAAGCAACTGTGGAGTAGCCCGCAGTCAAAATACAAAAGATGTGACTTTTATTTATTTTTCACATGGCCTTTTCTTTGTTTTTTCTTGTTTGGTTTTGGTTTGACTTCTTTTTTTGTACTTTTTCGCATATTCAAGTCACACTTTTGGACAGAGAGCGGTGGGGGAATAAATATGGGATGTTAGCGACTGACGTTCACGGCGTGGGTGTAAATTGGGCATAAAATGCGACCAGTTAATTCATGATACTACCGATTCAGTCAGGTTCGAAGGCATTTTAATTGGTTTCAAGCAGCGAGCTGCTGCTGCTGCTGCGTCGTCACACGGGGCGTATGAATAATAAAATCCCAGCTACCCCCACACCGCCATATTCCATCCACAAATAGTTCAGGTTGCAGAATAACCGATCCGATTCAGATTTTGCTTGATTGATCTCTCCAACACGATTCGATGCCATTTGTGGCCTTTGATTGGGCTGAGACTTTAACGATCGCTGCTGACGATCGGGAGTTTTATAGCTCGATATGTAAATTGAGTTATTTCCCAAAAAAAACAGAGACGTCGAAGAAATTGGCAAAGTGAAAGGAAAGGAGTTGACAGATTTCTGCACGTCTGTGTGGGTGGATTGATTAGTATGCATTTCGATGAGTAATCGCTTTTTTTAGCGATCGATCGATCGATGGATCGGTCGATTCCCAGGCATTTGCTGTGTTCGCAGTCAAAATAAATCAGTCGGGGGAGCAAAAAGTAAATATCCTGTTAATGCTATATGTTGTTCATTGAGCACATAGGAGAAGGAGAAGGAGATGGAAGCGAGGGTCGAAAGTAAATAAACACCAGATAATAAAGCCGAAACAAAGAGTGCGAGAGCGGGGGGAATTATGCGGAGAACAGCTGATTGCAGCTGATTTCATATCGGAATCGGAGTCCGGGAGTCGATCCCAAAAAAAAAGGGTTGGGTTGGGTTGGGTTCTCTCTACGCCCCCCTTTTTTTTCTTTCATTCTCTCTCTCTCTCTCTGTGTGCGAGATCCATGACGAAAGAAGAAGCAGAAGCAGAAGCCAAAGGAGCGATGTACGGAGAGAGAGAGAAATGAATTAAAAATCTAATTGCGCTCGCGATGAAACAAAGCACAAAAATCCAAGAGGGAGAAGACAATAAAAACAACAACAAAACAAAATAAATAAAAAGAAAAGCAAAGGCAAAAAGAAAAAAATGAAAAACGAGGCAAAAGAAAGGCAAAGGCAAAGGCGAAGGCGGGGGCGGGGTCGGGTGATCGCACTTAGTCGCATTACAGACGCAAAACTCCATGAACCGCAACGCAAGAATAATTACAACAACAAACATAGCAATACACTGAACAAAAACTCAATATTATATTACAATATAAGTCTGAGTAGGATATCCTATTCTCAATGATACTAAAAAATCTTCTTGAATAACAATCAAATTGCAAAAAAATCTAAAGCTGGTGAGAATGTGATTGCTTCTTTGAATATTAATGTTAATTAGAAGATACATTTAAATATAATATAAATTAACGAAAACTAGTAATTAGTAAATAGTAAATAAAAACTGCTAACTTGTAATTCATAACGAGTTACTATGTTATTAGTAATTACTAACTTCTTAGTCTCGACTCTTTTTCATCCATTTTTAGTATGCATCATTAATTTCACTCTAGATTTATCATCTTCCGATAAAAATTTCTCTGTGTGCACAACAATATCAGAGAAGATAGAACCATAGGGTTGGGTCTCTTCCAACCACAAAGGTCGAATGCAGAATGCAACAACAATACGAATAAGCAACGATGACGATGACGATGTGAGTTAAAGTTGGAGCTAAAAAGACTGGCGAGCAGAAATGAGTTTTCATAGTTTTTCCAACTTCTTGGGGGAGAGAAGTTAATGCGAATTTAATTAAAATGTGCAACTAGCAACAGGCAGCAACATCAGCTGCAGCAGCAGCAGCAGCAACTGTGGCACAGCGGCGGCAATAATAAATTCTAGATGTGAGCATTTTTGTTGTTGCCTCGGCAACAACCAAATTGAGGAGGGCACACGAAGAATCCAGGCGGGAAGAATTCGTATTCGAATTCGGACCCAAAGAAGAGAGTGAGAGACCGGGCCTAGACTTGCAGCAGCAGCAGCAGCAACAACAACAAATTGCACAGGCGCATGCGCAACGTTTGCATGTGTGTTTGTGCCAGTGTATTGCATAAAATTATTTCGGTCTGGTGAATATTAGCAGAGCGTGAAGTTGGCAAATAAGAAATTCAGCTGCACACAAAAAAAAGCCAGCTAAATTTCATTAAACAACAACGGGAGAGAAAGAGAGGCTGAAGAGCTCGGAGAAAGAGGCAGCTGCTGGTTGCAACTGAAAAAGAAAAGAAGAAAAGAGTTGCAGGCAAAGAAAGAAAGAAAGGTCTTGGGGGTAGAGAGATATGGTCAGAGAAAGGGTGCCGCCACAAGTCAAGGAGATTTTCGCCAAACTAAAAACAAAACATATGTATTTCTCTCAAAAGCTATGAAATAGGTTCAACGATCGAACCAATTATGTAAGAGAAAAATGGACCAAACCCACGACTGGAAAGCTCTTTAAAATTATTCAACAAAAAACTACTGCATCTTGTATGTTTTCTTCTCTCACTATTTTCCATTTACAACCAACAATTAAGTTCAATGTTTTACAGCTTCCATGTTAGTTTCCGGTAATTCAGAGAAGATAAGATAAGTTAAGATCATAGACGTTATAAGAAGTATAGTAAAAATTCCAATGAAATCATCTTCGCTAACGGAAAAGTCAGGCAATATTGTTGAATTTCTTAATAAAATCTTGAATTACTTAGATCACAAAGATCTATTAAGATCCCTCATGTAAATACAGGATAATTCGATGTCCTTTTTCCATATTTTCTTGGTGAAAACCTTAAATTTCCCATTAATCATCCTTTATAACTCTATCTCATTTTCCCATAATTATTCTCAATATTTAAAAATGTGTAAAAATTGAAATCCACTCACCATAATTGTCGCTCACAGCCATTTTGACCGCTTCCATCACCGAGTGCGAGGCTCGCATGGGCTGGCCGAGGATGGTAAAGTTGCCCGGATTCGTCTGCTGGGCAAAGACCATGTACTCTATACTCGTGGCCTGCTGCAGATCATTGCCGGAACGGAGCACTCCTCGCGGACGCAGCTTCTCCCTGTAGATGTCACATTCGCCGCTGTTGTTTCGCACCGTAAACTGCAACCGAACGAGTGTCGGCAGCTGAAGGCCACGCTGTTGCTTGTACACCTCCACGACCTTCATCGAGGCCGAGAAGTTGAGCCGCCGGTCGGCGGACATCGACTTGAAGACACCCTTGAACACGGTGGGCGCCGCATAGGCCAGCTGGGCAGGATCCCGGGCTGAGCAATAGCGATCGGATCGCTGGCGTCCCCGGTGCTTTCGCTGGTGCTTCCGGCGTTGCTGATGCTCCTGATGCCTGTTCGGGCGCTGCTCCTTCCTTTGCTGCTGCCTCAGGCGGCGATTCTCCCGCTTGTCCGCCTGCAGCTCCTTCCGGTGGCCATTGGGGCGACGCTGGTTCTGACCATCACGCCGGTTGCGCGCCGCCTGCTCCGGATTGCGCTCAATCTGTTCCTGCTGCTGGTGCTCCTCCTCCTCCTCCGGCACCTCGAAGGACTCTATGTAGTAGCTCTGCACCGCTCTCCGGCTGTAGTTGCTCGCAGGATGCGCGAAGCTGCTTGTTGCAGCTGGCAGCTGTGTGGGCTGTATGTGACGACGCATCTTATTGCTCGTCGTCGCCGCCGCCGCGCTGGGCAGGCCATTGTATAATAAATTATTATATATTTGACTATTGATTAACGTATTTGGAACTTTTTTCTGTGGCACGGCAGCAACATGTTGCTGAAGTTGCTCTTGTTGCTGCTGCTGCTTTTGCTGCTGATTGGCTGCACTGCTGCCGGCATCGAATACTGTGGCTGGCTCTAACTTAAGATTGCTACGGCTACTAAGACTATTGCTGGTGCGGCTGAGCAGCCTACTTAAGATATTGTTGCTGTTGCTGTCGATGTTGCTACCGCTTTCACTGCTGCTGCTGCTGCTGCTGCTACCGCTGGTGATGCTGATGCTACCGCCATCATTATCCGTACTCAGTGGTATATAGTAGCTGCTTTCTTCGGCACTGCCTTCCCATAATAATCGCGCTGCTGGTAGCTGCCGCTGCTGCTGCTGTTGCTGCTGCATCGCCGTCGCCGTCGCAGCAGCCGACACACCTGTGATCAGTAGCAACATGTAGCTGATAATTAGCAATATCAATGGCATTCGTTGCTTTTTTGTTTTCAGACTCCATTTGCGCAAATGTTGCGCATACATGGCGTCCTCCAAAGTTGTTGCTGCTATTGCCCCGACTTTATTTACAAAATCTCTCGGTTCTACGAGTAATGGTTGCCGCTGCTGCTGCTGCTGCGTGTTGCTGCTGCGTATTGCTGCTGCTGCTGGGTTGTCCTTTATTGTTTTAATGGTGACAAATATCGTAGTCGCTGCCACGTCGTTGTGCCTTGTCGTATTTTCGTTTATCCTGCAAATACTTTCGATAGTTTCGTAGCATTTTGAGCGACAGCAGGGATCGAGAGAGAAAGAGGTCTATTTTCGCGCACTGTATGTCTAGCATTAATTGATTTTAACACTCTGGCTGCTGCATTAGTTGCTGTTGCTGCTGCGTTTGCTGTCGTAGCTGCTGCTGCTGTTGCTTGTGCTGGTGACTCATCTTTGTTGTTATCTTTCGCTAAATTCGCTGCGTTTCACGCACGACCACGCCCCGCTGCACGCCCCCAAAAGAAAATTCGGACGGGCCTAAGGTCGCGTGGCGTTTGATTTTTTTATATATATATATATTTTTTTTTTTTTGCTTCCCCCACACTTTTTTCCGGAGCGTTTTTCTTTCGCGACGTTTTTCACGCGCGCGCGATATATCGGTTCGGTTCGGTTCGGTTTTCCGTGCTCTCGGTAATCTTCGGATGCGGACTCGGATGGGGGGCTCGGGTTCGGCTCTAGCTTCGGCTGCCTGATCGGTCGTGTGCGTTTTTGGGGGCTGATGCCGCCGCCGCCGCCGCCGCTGCCGATGCTGTTGTAATTGTAATCCTCGCCAGGCGGCAGAGATATACGATAATGTTTGTCTGGCCTGGCCGTATACGCGATCTGCCGACTATATAGCCGTAGTCGCACTCGCAGTCGCAGTCGCAGTCGTAGTCGTAGTCGTAGTCGCAGCCGTAGTCTGATTCACTGGCGACGACGATGGGTACGAGTGTTTTCTGGCACACTCACTCACTCACACACACCGCGGATACTACGGATCGTCTCTGATCTCTGATGACGATGATGATGGTGATGATGATGTGCGATATAGCGATATAGCAGACACGGACACTCACACGTATCTCTCGGATACGGACACACGGACACGGCCACGGCACACACACAAGCAGCACACACGTCTTCTAATTTTAGACAAAAGTAATTATAAAAGAAAAAACAGAGCAGAGTGCGCCGCGTATATATATAAATCTCAAATATATATATATATATATCTTCTACTTTGGCTAGATATATATGTATGCACACATCTGCCACGGTGTGTGTGTTTTATATAGAAAAGTCGTCGCAACAGTCGGCTCTAGATATATACTATATATCGTGTATATATAAATTTATTACGTGTATATTGAAGGCACACACACACACTATAACACCCGCGATCGTTTTTGTTTTATATATCTGCGCGGTGCAGACAGAAGTTGTTGCTTCTTCAGGATGCTGCTGCTGCTGCTGCTGATGATGATGATGATGATGATAATGATGCTGCTGCTCCGGCTGTTGTATTGTTGTTGTTTTTCCGCAAAGTTTTAATTCACAATTACTCCGGCGCTTTTTCGCTTTTCATTTCGCACGCCCGCGAACGAAATCGAAAGTCCTTTCACACGGATCCCGATCGATCGATGGTTTGCTGCTGCTGGGGTTCGATTTGTTTCGATTTTTGTTCGGTGGGTTTAACGTCACTTTATGGGGCTTGTTACTGTTACTCCAGCTGATGAAATGCGCTATTTTATTTAGCTTTTTATTCAAGAATTTCCAAAATATTCGAAAACAATTTCACTGACTGAATCTTCACTGAAATCTCACTGGTCTGCGGCGATCTCTTGTGTTTCAACGCCCTCCGAGTGTGTCTCTGAACACTGGTAATTTTTGGCTATTTATTTATTTATTTATTTGCTGTTTAAGCCGAATTTAACGCGCCCGTTGCCGTCGAATGGTTTCGGCGGAGTGATTGTGTTCGCTGGTTTTAACTCACGCAGCGGCGCTTCGGGCGCCATTCGTCTGCCTTCGCCGCCGTTCGGCTGCGCTCGGCCGCATTCGGCTCGGCTTCGACTCAGTTCGGTCTCTCTCTGTTTTGCTCCCATTGAGAGTTTTCTCTTGGAAATTTTCTCAAATTGCGGCAGCGGCGGTTTTCTCTCAACCATTTTCTCAGCCCTCGCGAGTTTTCTCTCAAAAATTGCGAGTGAAACAATTTGTTTACGTTATATTAATTACACCGAAGCGATTTGCGGTCAGGAATTGAGGTATCCTTAGTGCAGACGAAAGATCTAATAACTGCAGTATATTTATTTATTTATTTTGATTAATTTATTACTTTAAGTATTATTTATTTTTTTATTTATTTAGTTATTTATTGAATAATTTTAATTGGAAGTATTTTTTTTAAATTAAATCCAGATGGGGTTCGATTCAGGATTTCACGATATACAATTTCACTTATTAAAAATTTATATTAAAGTGCTCTTTCTCTCTCAATCTCTCACTATTTAAAAAATCATTATATATCCTTACCTTTCTGCACTTTATGCTCTTAAATGAAGAGAAGAATTTGTAAATATTTTAACTCTTTTAAACGTTGAACGGTTTAATAACTTTGCAACACTTTCGTTCCACTTTAAAAGTAAAACTGAACTAATCGATGTAACCGATCGAACTCTCATTTTTATAGGCTTTCAGCGACAGTGCTATCTATTCAATAAATAAACATAGATAGGAATACGATTGTGATTGGCTTTTGCATTGATTTTCCAATATGTTACTCATAATCGACGCGTTTCTGATAGGCTACTGAAAGAGCTTTCCAGTCTCTGATAATAGGTTTTCATAAGCATAAAAAGAGGTAATACCAGGTTTGATGACTCACTGTGAAAGATATCATAAAAAAGACAAATTGATATATAATTAAAATACTGAAATAAAATAATGTAATTTTTTTTAAAGATATTGGTTTTACAACTTAATAAAAATGATGTTTTAAACAGGGTTTAAAGTTCCTTAATTATTATATTAATTTGTAAACGTTAGGGTATATTACAAATATCCTGTATCAAGAATATTTACTATATGAATTATACGAATTTTTCTTTATTACAAGAATATTTACAATATAAAAAGTGTTAGTTTTTCTTTAAGTACGTGCACTAATAAGCAAAAATGGATTACAATTTTAGTTGGATTAAATAAATAAAGACAAAAATAGTACCCATTAAATATTTTACCTTATGGTTAAGTAGGGATATGAGATAAACTCTTAAATAATGTTTAAATGCCACAGAATTTAGTAATGACTATATCTCCGATTACTCCGATATATTATTTACAATGATGTTTCTTCAAAAATTCCCATATATTTAGCTTTATACCTCTTGATCTCTTGTAGAATATTATTATTATTAATATTATTAATATATATCTCCATAATACCCATTTTGTAGCTTTCTGTTCCTATGACTGAGGGGACCTACGCTCCCGCCTCCCTTTGCCGCCCCGCCTTTGTAGTATTTCCTCGTCCATAAGCTGTGGGGCGATGAGACGCAGTTCTTTGGGTGTCTCAGCTTTTTTCCCATGATTATTTGCTTTATTGTCAAATGTCAAGTCCGCAAACAACAACAAACAGGTGATTCCGCTCGGCGGTTGGGAGTCAGTCGTGTAAACTTAACGTTTTTTCTTTTTTCTCTCATTTTTCTACTCCCCGCTGTTGACAAAGCTTCCACTTGTTCTACGCACTGAGCATAACAATAAAAGAAGCTGACAAAATAACAAAAGCAACAAGAACAACAACGAAAAGCAAAAGAAAAATAAAAATAGGAAAAAAAAATTATCAAGAGGGCAAAGAGGGGAAAGAGTAGTGACAAGTGCGACAATTGTAAGAAAAACCAGAAGCAAAGAAGGGTTCAAAGTCGGCCACTTGTGACGGAGCTGGGCCAAGTTGCTCTAGGTTGTTGTTACCACTTTTCAAGTCTAACAGAAAACACAAAAGAAAAAAACAGGTACTTACCCCACTAACCGAAACACTCGGGGACTGATAACAAGTTGGCAAAAATAGAACAGAGTTCGAAATGTGATAGTGGCAGTGAACCAGGCCAATTCTTATCGATTAACAAACCCACCTATAGTTGGCTTTCTTCTCCTACCCCAACTGGGACATAAAGCTGCTCCCGGAAGCGGAAATAAAGCTGGGCACCTGTCGTTGCCGCAGCAACGGGGCAGGTAGAATCTATATACTCGAAGCACATATTTGAAAAGCTGCAAAAAAAAAGAAGTAGGGACTCCTCTCCAACAATCGGGCGGCATTGTGCGGAAGTGCAGGAAGTGAGCGTGAGGAACAAGCTGCAGAATCCATGGATCCCATTCCCCTCCCACGATCCCGGCTTCCCTCTCTTCCCACCGAAAAAAACCCAACTGACAACAGACAACAGCTGCCAAGCGCAGCGTCATTGTATCATCAACAAATACTCAAATACCAAAATACCCAAATACACACGGAATAACAACATAAGAATAGCAAGCCAAGCCCACAACAATAACAAACACGAAAAACATGAACAATTTTCCATCTCTCTCTCTCTCTCTCACCCAAAAAAAAGAAGCAATTTGAAAATGCGCGCAGGCGCAAACATTCAATGTCTACTAGATGTCATCCATGGGGGAGGTCCATGGCCATAGAGTTGGGAAAACAAACCAAAGGAAAACAATTCAAAACTGAATTCCCAACTCACTAAATACACCCCAAAGCCTTGGACAATTAGAATGGATACGTTTAATCAAATTACACTGAAAGGCTGAGAAATCATTTTAAAAGCAACTACACTCTGGTCAAGTAATTACAATTGCTTTCTAAGGTCGCCAACCTTTGTCTTTAGTTTGTTTTTAAAAAAGAAACAGAAAAAGAAAATAAGTTTGTTTTTGGTTGGTAGGTTATTTATCTAACTTTGTAAAACAATAAATAATGATCTTATGTTAACTAATTAACCAACAAGTGAGCTTAACATATTTTTAAA